AACAACTCCTTAAAGTTCTAACTCCATCAATGAACATTCCCAAGCGCTTTTATTCATCCTCTTCCGCAACTATTTACCACCCAACAACTCCTTAAAGTTCTAACTCCATCAATGAACATTCCCAAGCCGCTTCTCCTATACTTTTATTCATCCTCTTCCGCAACTATTTACCACCCAACAACTCCTTAAAGTGTCATATTCCTATTAGTTTTTTTTTTGAATGCGACTCTATTACATTGTAGTATCTGTTCAAATATACTTTCTCAACCTAATGAAGCACATCCTCTTCCGCAACTATTTACCACCCAACAACTCCTTAAAGTTCTAACTCCATCAATGAACATTCCCAAGCGCTTTTATTCATCCTCTTCCGCAACTATTTACCACCCAACAACTCCTTAAAGTTCTAACTCCATCAATGAACATTCCCAAGCCGCTTCTCCTATACTTTTATTCATCCTCTTCCGCAACTATTTACCACCCAACAACTCCTTAAAGTGTCATATTCCTATTAGTTTTTTTTTTTGAATGCGACTCTATTACATTGTAGTATCTGTTCAAATATACTTTCTCAACCTAATGAAGCACATCCTCTTCCGCAACTATTTACCACCCAACAACTCCTTAAAGTTCTAACTCCATCAATGAACATTCCCAAGCGCTTTTATTCATCCTCTTCCGCAACTATTTACCACCCAACAACTCCTTAAAGTTCTAACTCCATCAATGAACATTCCCAAGCCGCTTCTCCTATACTTTTATTCATCCTCTTCCGCAACTATTTACCACCCAACAACTCCTTAAAGTGTCATATGACTCTATTACATTGTAGTATCTGTTCAACTCCTTAAAGAGTCAACAACGCCTCCACTGAGGCTCGATCTCATGACTTCCCACATGGGAGAGGTCACTACATGCCATCTGAGCACAAGGTGCTTGGCATATTCCTATTAGTTTAACTCAAATAAAAATCATATAATTTTAATCTTATAAAAGTTTAGTGTTATATTTTTTTAGGGTGATATTATTTGGTGGATAAAGGATATCCAGATAGACAATATAATGATATTTGGTACCGTATCCAAGAATAAGCTAATGTATCATCAATATCAATTTGAACAAGAGTCACCAACTAATGCTCAAGAAGCATTCAATCGTGCACATTCTTCTCTTCGAAGTTGTATTGAGAGGTCGTTTGGAGTGTTGAAGAAGAGATGGAAGATAGTTGCTAAAATGCCACAATTTAGTATGGAGACTCAAATTGATGTTATTATGGCCACATTTGCAGTACATAATTATATTCGAAAAATTCACAAGATAGACATGATGTGCTAATGTGCTTGAGCAGCACCTAGATTACGTACATCGTGATGAACTTCAAGATTCAAGTAGTAATATCTCCATCAACGAAATTTTAAGTGAAACCTCTATTGAGATGAAGGAGATTCACAACAATATTGCTACTTCATTATGGGGTGCTAGATCATGATTATGCTAACAGTTTCATTTCAAAATGTTAAATTTTAATATGTAAACAAACCTATTTAAATTTTATGAAGATGTCATTCTTAGTCTATTTACATTTATCATATTATCAAAAAATATAATTAATTTTACAAAACACTTTTAAGCATAATCAAGTAGCTTAACAGCTCTGCAGTTTTAACTTTCAACTACCTTTTGAGTTAGGTTTTCCAAACACAGCCTAAATTGATTAGAAATTCAGCTTTTTTCTAATAGTGTGAAAATTTCTTTTAAGATTTTTAAGAATATTAATTTCTCCGGCTCTAGCTTATTTTATTACATTAAAGAGTGTTAGTGAAAGTAGTGTGAATTTAACATTGTGTTCTTTTGTTTTGTTTTTTCTTCGATAATGGATTGGTCTTTTCCTCATAAATATGCATGGTGTTAATTATATTGCTTAACAATTTGTATGTTATAAATTAAAAAATATGAATATGTGTGATAAATACTTAATAGAATTTCAATGTTGAGTACTCTATATAACTCTATTAATTAGATCAACTAGTTTTGATTATTTGAACTAGTAAATGTCTAGAGGATGAATAGAGTTTTTGAAAGTTTTTCGAAAGTAATGATATGGTTTTGCATAGACTTAGTACGTTAACCACTTAATAATACATAATACACTCTTAATACCTCTTAAGGTCCAAGTTTTCATAATTAATATTATTAATATTTTTAAGGCCATTATTTATATTTATAATTTAAATAAGAATTAATTTCACTTTTGGTCCTATGATTATTGGAGTGTTTTCAATTTCAGTCCACAACTTTCAAAACTAACAATTTAGTACACTAACTATTTAATTGTTATCTATTTTAGTTAGTTTGCCCAAATTACCGACCAATTGTCGTCAACTTTTTATCCACATCCCACCTGCCTTTGTAGTATTTCAAACAAAGGTTCACAAATTATCTTCCATTTGAACACTAATACATTAGTATTATATCCGTTATATTTGGGCTCAATAGAATAATTACATGGAAATTAAACGTCATGCATGAATGAGGCTTTGTCCAAAATTTTCAATGTATTCATTTTGAATATAGTTAATATTTGCGTTACTATAAAGTAAAGTCATATCATTTCTTGCGTGCGTTTACCATTTACACACATTGCTACACTTTCAACATTTTTTAGTGAATGTAATCTGTAGTTACGTTCATGAACTTCGTGCTTCTCAACTACCAAGTACCAATGTCTTTCACAAATAATTTCTTTTATTGGGTTTCATAATAAACAGCATTAATAGTTTTTTTTTTTTTTTAAAACAGCATTAATAGTTAATTAGTAATAACTATGTTCATATGCATGAGCAAACAACTATGTTCTTTGTTAGCCATTAATTTAGCATGCAGGCGCTTTAAGCGGTATAGACGATTAACAAAAAATTCATTTTTTTTATATATTGAATATAATGTTCATATTAATTAAATTATAAATGTTATTTTTAAGGTTTATTTTTTATATTAAAGGTTCATTTTTAAATATACTATCTAAAAATTTAACTTTGAATACATTACGAATGAATCTTCAATATACTAAAAATGAACATTTATCATTTATTTACCTTGCATGGTCCAAGTATAATTTGCCTGTTTCAAATACTATAGTATAATTGAATTATTTTATATATTGTCTTACATAAATCATTTCAAATTCAACCTGGAAATTAAACTTTGTTATAATAAGAAAATCATGCATACTTTAAAGATTTAAAAACTTCCTTACTTTTCTACAATTTTTTTTAATACACAAAATAACGAAGGTAAAAGAGAAATATAATGTAGGGAGCTTTAAAATCTAAATAAATCTAAAATTTTAATATGAAGTGTTAATATTAGATATCTATTATTACATATTGCGCATAGAAAATACTAATAAAAAAAAAAATTGAAACAGCAGCAAGTAAGATCTTATTCCACAGAAATTGGTCATATTTATTTATATTTAAATATATCAAAATTAAGAAGGAAATGATAGTTGAAATTAAATAAAAGTAACATTGCAACGAGAAATATTAATAATTAAATATGAAAAATCAATAATAAACAAATATCCATAGATTTTCTAAACGTAATAATAATAGGACCTACCAATTACTCACCAAGGATTTGAATTGATGAAATATATACATAGAAAAATAAACGTAAATGCAACAAATCTAGGATTATTCCCTACGTTACGATTCACTCAATCTAACACAACGAAATCATATTTAGTGGCTTTAAGTTTAATATTTATTAATCTTTGAATGCAAAATAAAACCATACTTGAACTAAAATTTGGAGATTAGTTAATTCAAATATTTATTTATATGCCAATGATTTTGTGGTTTAGTGTCATAAAGTAACTCTCTCAAATGAGAGGTTATGATGGGTTCGAGCCCTAGTGGAAGAGGTATTGACTCTTTGTGCTGATAAAAAAAATCTATTAATTAGGAGTAAAATTTTTGCTAGTGAATGAATCTATTTTAATTTTATAGTTGTGAAGATATTGAATGATGATGATGATGATGATGATGATGATGATGATGATGATGATGATGATGATGATGATGATGATGATGATGATGATGATGATGATGATGATGATGATGATGATGATGATGATGATGATGATGATGATGATGATGATGATGATGATGATGATGATGATGATGATGATGATGATGATGATGATGATGATGATGATGATGATATTATTATTATTATTATTATTATTATTATTATTTCTTTGATAATAAGGCACGATTAGTACGTGTACATATATTAATGTTGGACCAGGGGAGGCCACAAAAAATATCTGTAAATAAGTTATTACAAATTGTAGAAATAACTTTTAGGATTTGGTTCACACTAATGCTTGATTAAATATATTATAGAAAGCCTTTGTTATATAATACGGAGTAAAATTTATATATTTTCTATACAATTGGTTAGATTCTAGAAATCAGTATGTAGAGCTGCTTTTGATATCATCATCCTTATGTAACAATGGACGCATTGGCACATTCTGATCCTGACCTAAATTAGCTTTAATTTGCCTTCATACATCACCTTGGTAGGGATGGCCAAACTGCATCCCATATTGGAAAAAATTTCACAGCTCCTACACCAATTGTTATACTATAGACCAGGATTCATATTGGATTGTGAATCCTGATACAAAAATTATGTACCTTAAGTTAACACATGCATTCTGTACATACAATTAACAGTTTCTGTACATGTAAACAAATAACTTGATAATTGTGTTAGATATAAATAATCTAACGTTATTGAACAATAGTATACGAGAAACCTAACCTCGTATAAGCGGAAGAGGTAGACCGTTAACCATTATTTAATTTGTCTCATACTTGACTCAGAATCCTAGATGGTGTATTGGTGTTTTCTACCGTATGAATACCGTAACTGAATGTATTGTGCTATCTTTTTTTTTTTTTTTTGAAAGCCAAGGAAATCATATTGCATTAAACTGTAGACGAAACAAAGGAAGGAAGAGAATCCCTCCAGACAGTACGAGTGTCAACCGCACTGACATGCTTTGCTAAGGCATGAGCTACCGTATTGGCATCTCTGCGTACAAATTTAATGGAGCAAGAATGAAAAGAGCGAAATAAATGCAAACATGAATCTAAGATAACACCTAGGTACGAACGATAGGAACTCGCATCGCGAAAGCAAGAAACAAGGACCGCACAATCCGAAAAAATCACAATGTTGTGAAAATTGTGTTCTTGTAGCCATGATAGAGCTTCTCGTATTGCCATGGCTTCAGCTAGGAGAGGATCATACGGGCATATAAGAGGTCCGTTAGCAGCCGCAACAAAATCACCCTCTGCACTGCATACATAAAAACCAAAAGACGGGGACGTGCCGTGGAATCCGGCATCAGCGTAGCAGATTACCACATCCAGCGGCAGCAACGTCGCCATTTCCGGAGCTGACGGCAGTAAGGGGGCAGCCGGAACGAGGGGAGCAGCCGGAATGGGGGGAGCAGCCGGCGCGTTGTTCGATGCCCAGACAGACCAAGTACCGTGAAAACCGTGACATAGATGCGAGGGGGTCGATAGAATAAAATCCCAAACAGCCATATTCCGAGCTCTCCAAATTTCGTAGAGTATTCCACATATCTGTTCTTTTAGAAACCCAGCAGATATTGCTGAGGTTCCCAGCCAAGCCTCCACCCACTGCATAAAATCATAACCATCAACGTTAGGGATATGAAGGCGTGAAACATTCCACACACGTCTAGCATAAATACAAGTGCATAAAATATGCATAATATCCTCCTCATAATCTCCACAAGCCGGGCAAATATTAGGAATCTCTACTCTCCTTCTAACCAAGTTGGTAATAGTTGGAAAAATATTAGAAAGGGCCTTCCATAGAAAAATCCTCCACTTGGGAGGGACCCTAAGCTTCCAAATGTTGTTCCAGACTGCGTCTGGGGTGGTGATCAACTCCCCTTGGCATCTATAGCCATCTTTAACCGTATATTGTCCCCTGATATCCCCTTTCCAAAACCAGTCATCCTTGAAATTAATACTCACTGGGATTTGTAATATTAATCCAGTATCCCTGGGATCAAACAATTGAGAAACCAGCTCATGGTTCCATCTCCCCTGATCATGATCCAACAGGTCAGCTACCATGAGATCCGGGGGTTGGGTAACTTGATCAGTAAGCACAAACGGATTCTGGGTGTCAGGTAACCACGAGTGTGACCAAACCTTGGTTGTTCTGCCATTACCAATTCTGCGCCTGCAACCACTACGAATCAGGCTCTCACTGGCCATAATGCTTCTCCATACATAGCTCGGATTACCTCCCAAGGAGGCCTCATAAAAGGTAGTATCACGATAATATCTTGCCTTAAAAATTTGGGCCATTAAGGATTCCGGATTGGTTAAAAGTCGCCACCCCTGCTTCCCTAGTAGTGCCAAATTAAATTCATGCAGCCTCTTAAAACCCATACCACCATGCTTCTTAGGCACACACATCCTGTCTCAGGCCATCCAATGTATCCCATCCACCGTGGTACTCTTACGCCACCAATACCTGTTCATCAATCTTTCCAAAGAAGCACATAGCGATACATGCAACAGAAATATACTCATAGTGTACGTAGGCATTGCCTGAGCAACACTTTTAAGAAGTACCTCTTTACCTGCCATAGAAAGCAGCCTCTTATTCCAAGAACCAAACCTCTGTCTCAGTTTCTGCTCCACATAGGAAGAAACAAATTTCCTGTTCCTACCAACAACTGAGGGGAGACCCAAATATTTGCCAAAATCCTCCACCTGCTCCACCCCTAAACCCATGGCAATAGCATCCCTGTCCAACAAAGTAGTATTTTGACTGAAAGAGATGTTAGACTTATGAAAATTGACAGATTGGCCCGAGAATTGCTCATATATTTCCAAACAACGCTTCACCTCCATGGTTTCCTGCATGTTAGCCTTGAAGAACAGTAGGCTGTCATCCGCAAAGAAGAGGTGGGTGATGGGAGGGGCCCCACGCGCCACTCTGCAGCCATGGATCCGTCATTTAGCCTGGGCATCCTGCAACAATAAAGATAAGCCCTCCGCACAAATGATAAAAAGGTAGGGTGAAAGTGGATCACCCTGCCTTAGACCCCTCGTGGGCAAGATCTCCTCACTTGGTTTCCCATTGACCAGGACCCTATACCTGACTGTCCGCACACATAGCATGATTGAATTAACCCATTTAACATCAAAACCAAGCCCCAACAACATTCGTTCTACAAACCTCTATTCCATTCGGTCATAAGCTTGGGCCATATCTAGCTTCAGGGTTGCCCATCCCACTCGGCCCAATTGTTTCCTTCTCAGATAGTGACCCACTTCAGATGCAATAAGAATGTTATCCCAAATAAGCCTACCTGGAAGAAAAGCACTCTGCGACTCTGAAACAATGCCATCCAATAACGGTTTCATACGGTTAGCTATCATCTTAGCCATTACTTTATACACAACATTGCATAATGCAATAGGCCTCAAATTAGTAACCAACTTAGGGGCAGCCTTTTTTGGGATCAGAACAATATTGGCATCATTCAATTCAGGGGGAAAGGAAGATTGAGATAAACATGCAAGAACAAAATCAGTAAAATCCTTACCAATGAGATCCCAGAAAGACTGATAAAAACCCGGATTCATTCCATCCGGTCCTGGCGATTTGTCTTTACCCATGGCGAACAAAGCGTGTTTCACTTCTGCAGGCTCGAAAGGACGAAGCAAGTCATCATTCTGAGCACGAGTGACACGGGGTGATAAGGTATCCACTTGAAAAGTACCCATGTCCCCATTTGTCTGAAAAATCTGCTTGTAGTAATCCGTCACCAGAGAAACAAGTCCATCACCCTCCTTCCATACCCCATTCCCATCCTTAAGCCTCACAATAGAATTTTTCCGTTTACGGTGCGTGGCATACTGATGAAAGAACTTCGTGTTCCGATCCGCCCCTTGCAGCCAGTGCTGCTTGGCCCTTTGCTTCCAAAAAGACTCATCCTGCAACAAGACAGTACTCAATTGCCCATCAAGTTATCTGAAGCGTCCTAAGGAAATCGGGTCCATCTGGCTTCTCAAACTATTCATCTCCCGTTTTATCGCCTCAATTTTGAAACCAAATTTGTGAAAATGTTCACCCCCCCTCCCCCCAACTTCTTGATGCCACGGCCACACAACAACAACCTCTCTTGGAATGTATTGTGCTATCTAATTCAATAATCTTATATCCCATCAATCCAGGATTATATTAGGCATAGTGTTCGGTTGACTAACGACTTCTAGTTATTCAGTCCAACCAGACTAAAGCATAGTCAACTTACACCACTTAATTAAGGCCATAATATATATATATATATATATATATATATATATATATATATATATATATATATATATATATATATATATATATATATAAGGGAAAATCTTACAAATTGCTAACACATAATATGATAATTACAGGTACAAAAACTATCAACTGTAAGTACAGAATGTTGTGTCAACTATAAATGCAGAATTTGAAAGTTATTTTTAGATAATTGCTGACACATAATATGATAACTACAAGTACATAAACTATCAACTGCATGCAGGTACAGAATATGTCAACTATAGATACAGAATTTAAATGTTAATTTTGGACCAGGGTATACAATGTAAGTTAGACCCTACTCTATAGTATAATTTGCCTTCCTACACCATTAATGAGTTTCTAGGAAAATATGGCACATTTCTAATCTTTGTCCAAATAGCATATTATGATTGATTATATGTTATATATAATTTCATATTTAATTAAAGAATTCAAATGTTAGTTTAGTGATATAATATTATTAATTAACTAGTATAGATCTCATGTTATGCTCAGGATAACTTTTAATTTAAATTGTGATTGTTTAGTAGTAGTAATGAGATTTAAATTTGTATAGCTATTAGTATGGTACATACAGAAAAGAATTTAGAATATTAATTTTTTAGAATATTATTTTGAAATGTCAAGACCTTATGGTCTAATGACACTCGGGTTAAACTCCATATATGAATTTTTATGTTCAAGCCTCATTGGAAGTGTTATTGATTCTTTGTGTTTCAGTAGGTTGAGAAAGTAGTTATGAACAGATACTACATTGTAATAGAGTCGGTAGCATTCAAAAAACATATCATTTTGAAATGGCATTGTAATTCACATTTATGTGATACTTGTGATCTTATTGTAAAAGGTTATGCGATAATAGAATTATAAAAAACAAAACAATAATGCAATAATCAATTTTTTGTTTATTATAGTATAACTTTGATTAGGGATGGCAATGGGGCGGGGTGGGTGCGCGGGACATATCCCCCGCTCCCGCACCCGCATTTCCAACCTACTCCCCGCACCCGCACCCGCGCGGGTAATGAAAATCCTAATACCCGTTCCCGCGGGGATTTTGCGGGTGCGGGTAATACCCAACCCGCAACTCTAATTATTTATATTACACTTAAATCTAATAAAAATCTTATACTACAATTGTAATTATCACATTAATTTTTTTATAAAGTTGAACATAACTCTAAAATTTAATAAGAACCAATGAAGTTAGTTCTTAATTGGAACTAAAATTGTGTTGATAGTATAAATTGTATTAAGTGTTTACTCATTAAGTTATTTGTGTTGTTCCTATTCAAATTTCATAAACAAAAAACTAAGAAGTTTAATTCATTATGCATTTTCAATTATAAAATATACATAAAATTATATAATAAATGAATACTAATAACAATATATATAAGTGCGGGTGTGGGTGCGGGTGCGGGGCGGGGATACCTCCCCCCGCACTCGCCCCATACCCGCGCAGGTATATAAATTTTCCCCCATACCTGCACCCATTACCCAAATTGTGCGGATATTTTAAAACCCGTAGGGGCGAGGATGCGGGGAACCCGTTAGGTGCGGGTAGAATTGCCATCCCTAACTTTGATGGGTAAAAAATAATATTTTCAATCGTTCTCGTTGTCAAATTTCTTTCTATTTCTTCAGCAATTCATTTTTTTTCCTTCATAAAATTTCAAATTTTCCTATATTTTCCTTCCAAGACCAATATTTTCCTATATGGTCCAGGGAAATGTGGGCGCCCTTCTCTTGACTTCGGCCACCTTCTTAAGGTCTATAGAGAGCTCAGCCCTCATTAGGTATCGAACCAGCTCCTCAATCTAGTCGACCGAGATTTTCACCTCAAGAGGGAACACCGTAACGACCACCAAGGTTTCTATACTAGCCACGTCAACCACCTCCGTCTGACAGATCTTTGCCAAGTGGTCAGGTATCCCTCCCAATGCTAACTTGGATAGAATGCTGGCCTCTTTGTTCGCTATCTAGGGCACGTGATGGAACTTATGTGCTTCCAACCTACCTAGTAACTCCTCGGCCACATCATTGGTTGACTAACAACTACTAGTGTCTGAATTTAAGCACGCTTAGTCCGTTACTTTTAGTTCACCATTTAAGCTTAAATCATAGATGAACCCTACAGTTTTAGGTTCATACCCCCAAACAGTTATACATTAAGTATATATGAATCGGGGAGACATACTAGTTTTAATTAGACCTGGCAATTCGTGTATACAGGTTCGTTAACGGGTCGACACGATAATGACACGAACACGATAAGGCTAAACACGGACACTACACGTTATGATTAACGGGTTCAAAATTTTAACACGAACACGAACACGAACACGATTTATTAACGGGTTAAACGGATTGACACGATAGACACGTTTTGTTAACAGGTTTCAAGTCGTGTCGACACGATATGACACGAAATCCGTTTAAACCCGCTATTTATATTAATATATTTAAAAAACTAAAATTTAAAGTTAAGTTCTATAAAAAAAAGAAATAAAACCTACAATTCAACTCATCAAACAAATTAAAAACATTCAATTCATAACATTCATAAAATGATAAAATAGCATCCAAAAATCATAATTAAAGGAGTCCATACAAGTTTTTAGAATAAAAAGAACACAATAAAAATTCAAATTTCAAATTTCATATTGTTGAACATCAATAATTGGTGTAAGATCTTGGCTTGATGTAGTAAATTCATCATTAGTCATGTTCATAATATCTTTTGTAATCTCATTCATGACAATGGTTCTTACCTAAATGACAATGGTTCTTAGCGGGTTGTAAACAGGTTTGGTAAACGGGTTCGTGTTAACGGGTTAACACGATAATATTAACGGGTTAAACGAGTTCTTAATAGGTTTAACGGGTTGACCCGTTAAGACACGAAACATAACGGGTCCTTAACGGGTCAACCCGTTAACGACCCGGGACACCTTAAGACTAAACACTAACCCGTTATTTTCGTATCCGGTTTCGTGTCGTGTTAACGGATCGTGTCCATAATTGTCAGGTCTAGTTTTAATGGCCATGAGTTAAGGACATCTTGAGCCACTAGTCTCCTTAAATTGATACTCTA